ACATTTCCACAAGATTTTAGAAATCCAAGGATAAGAAGATTCTTAAAAGTCTTTAAGACAAAATAAAGAAAATAAATATGTGTCATGGAGAGAAATAAGAAGGGTACCAATGGATATCAGAAGACACTAGAGCAACATCCTCTAAATTCTGAAAGCAAATAATGTTCAGTCCAGAATTCTATACCCACACAATGTGCCATAATATTCTGACAGAGATTTTCAGAACTGCAGGGCTTCTCAGAAAGCTGCTGGAAGACGGGCGAGCAGACAGACACGGGATGCAGGCCAGAGCAGGTAACAGGAGCAAGGCAGAGTGGACCATCTACAGTGAACAAGGCAAACCCAACAGCCAATCCAGAGTGAGCGGCCGAGGGGGTCTGAGGAGGGCGGGGTCCTGGGGAAAACACCGAGCTGACAGACCATCAGACATAAATGACACAGCAGAAAGTTCTGCACGCTGTGGCCAGCAGAGGGTACGGGGAAATCACAGTTACACCTCACTCCCCCACAGAAAACGTCACAAGAGTGTGAAAAGAAACATCCTGAGGGTACACTACTTGGCTTAGCAGGGAACACTATTTACATAGTCATAAAAATATAAACACCAAACACTAAAATAACACTATAATAAATAATAAGAATAATGCATCAGTATTTTGAGTGGTAAAAGGCCTAAATCCTAACCTACCAAAATGAAAGTCCAGATAACATCAGGAACTAAGACATGAAGAAAGTCAATGTAAGATCTGTGCTTTAAATGTAAAGATAAATACCATATAAGATACCATGTGAAAAATGAAGGTGCTATAAGAAACAGGCTTAGGAGATAAAGAGGTGAGGGGTATGACTGAGGAATGTTGTTTTTTGTGATGTTTACTGCAGCTTAATTTTTTAAATCTATGTGCATATATTACTTTGGAAGCAGGATTCAAATTCAGACAGTGTGGACCTAAATCTGGAGATCTTAACTTTGAAAGAAGGCAGGAAAATTTATAATCCATCAATTATTTTGGAGACAGCTATCTGATTTTCTTTCACCTCCTGATAAGCCTAGACAATCAAAAGCAATCAGACTAACAGACACGAGTAAGGAGAAAGCATTTATTTTCTCATATCTAAAATCCTATATTTTTCTATCAACAGCAACGGAAAATACAGCCTAAATAGCAAGAGCAGCAGAAAAGGAAAAGTTGGAAAAAACTGCAGTCACACAAACTATAGTTAAAAAATGACTAAGTTTCCCTGATATATGAATTTGTTGGAAAGCCATTTATCAACAGCCTGTTTCTCTCCAGGAGAGTCCCTCAGGCTGAGAGCCATGTCATTCCCCTCTGACTGATTAATTAGCCGATCAGGGGGCACTTTTCATTGTGAGGCATGATGGTTCATTCCGGCTAATGTTTGGTCTCTAATGGCAACATATTAAAGCCAACTCGGCTATTTTAGCCCCGTGGAGTGACCAGAAGGAAAGGATAGAAGATAAATCAAAAGAGCTCCCTTCAGTTTCCCTTCAGTCCTTAATAAAACCCCCAAGGAGCAAATGGCTGGAGGAAAGATCCTCTACCAAGAGAGGAAAAAACAAAGAAAAGAAGGGTGGAAATGCCTTCAAGCCAAGGGGGATCCTTTCCTGCTTCTGAAGAGCAATAATTTATCCTCTGTTGATTAACAGACCACTGATAGAACAGGCACCAGAAAGTCAATACCGAGCTCTTCTTGCTTTTATCAAAAGCTGTGTTCAATAGAAAATCTCGCTCTGCAATGCTTCTTCCTCACTTGGAACGATTTCACCCGCACTCTGAATTAGACGAGGCCAGCGAGGAACCTGATTGAAGGCACTATTTATACCCCTGCAGACAGGCAGCTGCCCACTGTGCTCCACGTTCCCTAAGCTTCTTGCCCTTCTCTGCGCCCTTGACAGGCAAAGCATGGAGGAGACCCTGGAGCATCAGAGGAACACAAGCTCCTCCAGAGGACAGATATGAGCATTCACATATCAGGAGACAGGAAGCACATCTTACACACGCTCAGTACACACTGCCAAACACTCTCAACAAGACAGTCCAAGCAGCTAGTCTCCACCATGCAGTTCCACTCCTGTGTACATAGCACTGCCCAGCTGTCTCACTTGCAGATAAGTGAAGGATTACAAACTAGCAGTCTGCGTCCGGTGAGATCACCGACACCATCATCATGGTTATTATTTTGTGAATCTTGCACACTTTCAGACCAGGCTATGAGTTTCCCTGATTCCCTGTCATCTTAAAGTCAGACTACTCACACATTTCCAGTCACATGCCTGGACCCACTGGCACTTGAGTTTGAGGCCTGGGAAGAGTTGTTACTCATGGTACATATTCTTTTTTGTGCTTTGTCCATTCAGAGACTTCTGCCCTTTGGGCCCAGGTCAATCATCAGTTTTCTCTGTAGCTGTTTCTAACTTCTCCAGTAGTAGTGTTGATGATGCCCTAGTCTGTGTTATTCCCCAAGGATTAAAGTATACATCAACAGCTGAATTCAATTCAACAAAAACTTCGTTGAGAACCTACTCCATAGCGGGCCTGGTTCTAGATGGTAAGAACTGCTGCCCTCATGGAGGTTCCAGTCTACTGAGGAAACACAGACGGTACTTTGGTACCTCAGACAGTGATAACTGCTATGAAGAAAAATAAAGCAAAGGAGAGGGGACAAGAGTATCAGGGAGTTTTGTTGTTATTGTTTGTATTTTCCGCTATTATAAATTAGGGTGTCAAGGAAGGCCAGCTGAGGCGACAATTGCACAAAAACGTGAGTTGGGGACAAGCACTCCATGCAGAGGGGCCACCAAGTGCTGAAAGTCAAGGCAGGAGCCCTCCTGAAGTGCTGGAGGAACTGGAAGCCAGAGTGGTGGGCAGAGCCGCAGGGAGAACCAGCCGAGGATGGCAGTGAGCGCGAGGGTGAGTGAGAGGTGGGAGGGCTGGTCACGCAGGGCTTCAGGCCCCTGTGAGGGCAACCTGCTCTTTCACCTCAACATCATTTGATTTTTTTCTTTAAACGCATCAAACAATTCACACTCATCTCCTGGAAAAAGGACATAAGTAGATAGTCAAAACTGCCCACACACCTGAAGTTAAGGAAGAACATTCGGAGTAATGGTCTCTCCTTTGCGGTCAAGGAAAAGGTAAACCTTCAAGTCAAATACCATTTCAAATGTGCGTATTTCGTGTGTTCACTTTTCTCCAGAATCAGAGAACCTTGGACCCGAGTGCTCCCACGCACACAGTTCATACTCACCTATTACAAGAATCCCTCCAGGAAACTAACCACGCAGTACATCCTGCCCAGCTGGCCCCCTCTGCCAGCCCACACTGTTTCCTTTCTCTGAGGAGAAATCTTTCTATGAATTTCATCCACCAGTACTAGTCTGTCCTCTGAAGTTTACCAAACCAATCTGTTCCTTTCCTAGAGGACCCCTGAAACCATTCAAAAGTTCAAAGTCAGGGTCTCTCTCTAGTCCAGGCAGAATCTCCTAACTGCTCATCTGCTAATTCCTGTGCAAAAACTTGCTTTCCAGATATCTTTGGCCCAACTGCCATGCTCTGAACATATTCTTATAAAATACAGCACCCAGTTCAAATACAGTCACCAGTACAGAAAACAGCCCCAACATCTGTTGCTTCCAGTTGTTTTTAAAGCAGCCCAAGCATGAACTCAGGACAGTTGCCACACTGCATTTCTTATTTTGACTTAGGTCAAACTTGTAGTCAGTTTACATGTTCCCAGCCTCTAAGTTAATTCTCATTCAGATGAGTTCTTTTCAAAGATTCAGTGAGATTTTACACATCTTCACAAAATTTGATCTATCTGGCTTTGGTCAAATGTACCAGCTCAGAGAAATTATTATGAATCTTGATTCAAAACCAATGGTCAACACGCTGATAAAAGTTACTGAAGTTATCACTGCTGGCAAAAAAAATACAGACCTAAAATGTGTTAATGAGCTTGTTTGTGGGCTTAGTTTAAATTTACTGCTAACCAAAAGGTGCTTCCTAGTAAAATGACCTTAGCAAACTCTAGGCTGGGAAAGCAGCTCAACTCATGAATGGTGATGCCAGGTCCGGGTGAGGAGGGGGAGGCAGAGTGACAGAGACTTGTAGGAGGAAGGGAAATTCAAATTCAAGAGTCCACATCTAGCAAACCACTCACAAAACTCAACCCAATTCACAGAAAAGAACATGAAAATTTAGAACTAATGAGAAACCAACCAACCAACCAGGGACTTCCCTGGTTGTCCAATGGCTAAGATGCCGGGCTTCCAATGCAGGGGCCTGGGTTTCCATCCCTGGTCAGGGAACTAGATCCCACATGCTGCAACTAAAGATCTCATGTGAAATCAATTAATCAATCAATAATTCTTTCTTTTTTTTAATTTAACCAACCAAAAAAAAGTCTGCTTGGAAGTTAGTTTTCAGATTTGACAATCAGCAAGAAATGGGAGACACTAAAAAACTATTTCCATTTAGTTCCTATCTGGTTGAACTTCCTGATACTGCTTTCTTTTTTTTTCCTTCTCTCAATTTTTCCCTCCCCGACGTTCCCAGTTTCCTTCCGCTATCCAGCTTGTTTCCTGTTTCAGCCTTATCACTAGAGAAAATACTCCTAAACCACATAGAGGATCGAGAGTGTGCCCCCAGCATTCCTGCTCTGTTTCTCTAAACAACACGCCTCTGGCTTAGGCTTTTGGCAAGGGGAGTTCTTCCCTGAGGTTAGTCTAGTCCACACACCAGGAGGAAAAAACCCCAGATAATACACATTCTTTTTAAGGCTCCTTGTAATCTATCAACTGTTATTATCACCTATCAATTATTATTAAGGGGATCACATTTAGCCTTTGTATGAAGCCTCCAAAAGTTTTTTTGGTAACTTTGTCTGGAAAGTACTATTAATAATAAACATAAATAGCTCTATACACAGTTGAAAATCAGTGTTGAGACACAATGCATCAATCATAGGCGGTTTAATACCTCAGGAGTCTTCTTCTTCTGTCTTTTTCCAAAAATGCAGTCAAGATCTGTTTGGCTCCGAGATGAGAGATCCTTCCCTAGAAAAACATGATGCCTTCAGTAATACATTCTAAAATAAGGAGCACAAATATAAACTATGAAATTGGGTTTTGGAAAATAAACAATTTTGTAAACGACCAACTTTTTCTTTCCCTTTGACAGATTTTTGTTGTTGTTCAGTTGCTAAGTCTTGTCTGATTCCTTGCAACCCCATGGACTGCAACAGGCCAGGCTTCCCTGTCCCTCACTATCTCCCAGAGTTTGCTCAAATTCATGTCCATTGAGTTAGTGATACAAAATCCAACCATCTCATCCTCTGCTGCCCACTTCTCCTTTTGCCTTCAATCTTTTCCAGCATCAGGGTCACACTGTTTAATCAGTAAATACAATTAATTAAACTTAAAAATCAAACAAGTGAACCAGAACCCCTGACTTCCTCTTAATGGTACGAACAAGCCTGAGCACGCAGGTGGAGAGGAAAACTAAATTCTCAAGCTAGCTCTACTCCTGGTACACTTTCAAGGTATAATTTCTGGGCCTCTGGGTTCCCTTAGTAAATAGTAAAATTCCGTTACTTCAAGGAGACAGGAGTTATACTCAATGAGGGTTACAAACTCTAGAATAAAAATATGCTGCTAAGATACATAGCTCCAAAACCCCACCTGTGCACAGGAATGAGAACATCCTATATTGACACATACAAGCTCAGTAATTAATTGATGAACTTTTTAAATAAATGCAAATAAAAATTGCTGCATTAGGGTGAAAAGATTTCAGACTTTTTTTGTTTGTTTTTTTCACTGTAATAGTGCTATCATTTTAAATAAAAGGATAATTAATGAGTAGGAAATTAAATGGCTCTGGCAAAAATGGTATCCAAAGGATCCTTGATTCTCATTAAAAACACTAAACTCTTTAACTTAATTTCAAACCCACAAGCCAACTAATTTAAAATTCACTTCTATGGAATTTCCACTTCTACCAACAGTACTGTTTGAGCAGCCAACCAAATCTATTCCCATTTGTCAACTTCGTGGTAGATGTATATATAAAGTCTGAAAGCTCTGGGGGAGGGAGGCTGTGGGTCAGACACAGGAATCTGTGCTTTGAGTTGGAAGCCTGAGTGCACTGTCAGGGACTCAGTTATCTTCCTGGCTTCCTGCAGCAACCTGACTTGGCACAGCACTGTTGTGACCCAGAAGGGTTCCAGTTCACTGGCTATCGCTGGGGCATTCAAATGTGATATTGCTCAGTGACTCCATGAAATTAAAAAAAAAAAAAAACAAAACAAACACCCTGCAATGTAATGCAAAACCAGGTGCCAAAACCCGTCTCCGAGGCGGCCATCCCAGGCTCGAGAGTCCAGTCGGCGCGGCCTGCTCCCACCTGGAGGGCGGGCTCTGCACCGCGCTCACCTCTCCTCCTGAGCTGGGAGTAAAGAAAGCTTCCTGCTTCTAGCTGGTCAGTCCACAGAGCCCAGACAGGTGACCCCAGAGCAAGCCTACTCGTGAGCAAAATGAAGCCTCCCAGATGGGAACACAGACAATGAACCAAGAGAGTGGAGAATAAAGCTGGCCACTGAGGGGAGACATGGACAGCCCTCAGGAGGCCTGCGGTCTGTTGTGAGCCTAGTCCGCAGTGTAACCCATTCCACACTGCAGAGAACATTCAGGGCGGCAGCTTCTATTTCAGAAAAAGAAGTTGTACTGGGATCAAAATACGCAGTGGCCACCCACCCCAAGCTAGCTTCTGAAATGGAACAGACACCCTAAAAGAAATGCAAATGACAATCACTTTTACAACAACTGAACTAAAAAGAATGCTGGAGGGATTAGGAAGCGGGGGGCGAGCATGCAAGATCACAATTCTAAAACAGGATGTCAAAACATGAACAAGCAGAGATGAAAAATGAAGCTAAAAATCAAAGGGAAAGCTGTCAAGCTAATAAGAGAATGTACCAATGAAGGTGCAAGTGTTTCTAAAGTTTTGGTGACGGGTTCTTGTATCAGAAATGCTTATCCTTTAGCAAAGTTCACTTAAACCAGGACTGTTACAGGCCTTGCTCTGGATTTGATCTGGAAAACAAAACACAAAGAAGAATTAAGAGTCAGAGACCAAAGGAAAGGAACTTAAAGGTAGATAAAACTGTGAAGATGGAAGTGATATTGAAACAGTTATTAGTTAATGGTCCTGGTTGAATAGTTTATAAATGTTATAAAATTATGGCCAGTTTTGAATACAATATGTGTATTAAAAATGAGTTTGAAAGTTACTGGTCTCCATTCTCAATCATGGTCAAATCACAGCAAATACTGTTGATGAACTTCTCTCTTAGAGAAAAGGACATCAAAAAATTGAACAGAATAGGAAATATATGACATCTGCCTGGATTTGGTTTGTGTACCCACTAGTCTTCAACTGGCCACAATATTCCAAGAATCAAGGAAAAGAGATTCCAGTAGCCAAGCTGATGTAACAAAGTCATGAAAGGATGATCTGATTCTTTCAGAGAACAGCACTTTACTTAAGATCATTTTAGCTATCTTTCTAATAATGAGGACTTTCAGGTGTTCCCATCTATCAGTGTAGCAATTTGGAGAGAAGAATGTGACCGCTACAGCCAGACTCACTTTCAACACCAAGAGGCCCAGTGGAAGCATGTGAAACTAAAAACCCAGCACAAGAACCTCAGAGCCATGGAGCTGCAGAGCCTCTCTTAGCCTAAGGGCAAAAGTTGTAGAGCCCAACAAGTGAGCACTGTGTTGTAACCAGAGCGCAAAAAGCTGAGTTCTTCTACTCATAGTAAAGGCACATGGGAAAGGAAATGCAGGTTGACAAATACACCAGTTAAATAAAAAATACTGAAGTGTTATATAGGTAGCTAGCTTCACTTGCTTCAAAAATTTACTTGCATTCCCCAATCAAGAAGGATAAAACAGATGATATTATATTTTGACTTTGTTTTTTAATGAAAACATATAGAACTGCTAATAAGTCGAGGAATGGAAGATTAGAAAACTTCTCTGAAAGGGTAATATTGTGAGAAAATCAGGAAACCTGAAAGAATCGAAACAGGGGGTGAAATGAGATCCTCACAACTGATAAGACAGCTGGAATATTTTTTAAAGCCCGCAATGGTGCTCCTTTGCACTTAAATGTGCAAAGAGCCAGAAGCAGCAGAACACCCACCTCTAGCAGAGTCTGACCGCAGGGAGCCAGCCTCAACAGGACACTAAAGTCAGTGTCAGACGAGCAGCTGACCACGGGGACACGCGAGAGGAGTGCGAGCACTTTCTTTATTTAAGGAGTGAAGTATCACAGACTGCTGCAGGAAAAAGAAGTCTAAACACATGAAGCTGCACAAGTACTGTCTACACAACCTTCCACCCACTCAGCCACCGCACGACTGGGAGCAAAAAGCCGGGCTCTCTGGACAAGGTCTCCCTGTTAAATATTAAAAACCTCAAAAGCGCTTTGGAGAAATTGACATCTTCCGTAATTTTCTTTTCTTTGCAGATACAGCCTCACCAAATGTTTTTTAGATTAAAAGAAACTACCACTGAGTTTAGGCCCTTAAACAAATATGGATGGAATTAACATCTTGGAATTATGTAATAACTTATGTCAAATTTAAATTATAAACTTAGGATGAGAGAAAGGAATAATTATGTATCAGAATTAAAATGCTATAGCCAATATTTAAGCAGTAACATATTTTACAATACTGTTTGCTGCTGTAATCTCTCTGCAGTGAAATTTTTATCTTCGCTTTTCACACCAAACTAAATAAAATGCTGCCTTCTTGTGTTTTGGTTTTCTGGACCACTGATGGAGCTACAATATGAACCCTCCTCATCCAATGAGTGAGTTATTGTAACTAAGAGCAGATCCCTGAGCTAAAATCCTTATCATCCATTATGCTGAACACTCATGATTTCCACATAATGGCATCATTTCTGATAAATTCTAAAAAAGAACCTACTTTAGAACTCAACAATGACTTAAAAAGATCTTTCATTTTACAAAAAAGGAAACTGAGGCTGACAGAAGGCAAGAGGTTAAGTGATTTGTCTGAGAGAGTCACAGCCAGAACCCAGTTTCCTGTAACCTAAGATAGTCTGCCATGGAGGAAACAGAGTTTATCATTCACATGCAGTGACAACAGTTGCTCTGCAAGGAAGACTTCTTTCAATAAATTACAGAACTTTAAAATAAACTTACACTGTGGACTGTTAAAATAGATGGCAACTGATTATTGCCTCACTACCTGGATTTCTGCCTCCTTTGTGTTTTCTACTGATTTCCACTCTGCTTTTCCTCTGTTTTCCTGCTCAATCTTCTCTGCTACCTTTGTAATATATCTTGAATTATCTTCCCTGCATACCAATCCTCCCTTCTCCCCAAACAAAGCTAATAAATAAGCAAACCTCATATTATTATTTTTTTTATTAGTTGGAGGCTAATTACTTTACAATATTGTAGTGGTTTTTGTCATACCTTGACAAGAATCAGCCACGGTTTTACATGTATTCCCCATCCCGTATTTTATTTTTAAGAATTTTTTTAAAAGTCTTCAATTGACTTACAATATTGCTTCTGTTTTGTTTTTTGGTCCTGAGGCATGTGGGATCCTAACTGCCTGACCAGTGAATGCACCTGCACCCCCTGCATATGAAAGCGAAGTCTTAACCACTGGACCACCAGGGAAGTCCCGCAAACTTCATTTCAAAAGAGAGAAAAAGAAGGAGTAACACACCCGGCAGGCTGACAGGGTGAACTGGCAAGGGGGTGGCTTAACTAGAAATAGAAAGAAGATATTCCCGGCATCCATAGATTAAAGTAGATCGAAGAGGTTTATTCCGGCTTCAGCAAATGATTCAGGTGAAATCATGCATGCAGGCTACCACCAAAGGAAAATAAGAAGATTCTATTCGCAAAAGTGAAAGCTTAAAAGGCTGCCATGCTATCCAAAAGTCACAGGGCACTTTTAATTTCGTTTGTTTGCTTGGCACCCTTTTGCTGTATCTTTTTTTTTTTTTTCTATAGGGTCTAATGAAAAGAAGGGTATTTCAGGGATGGGGATGAAGTGACCATTGAGCCCCTCCTGAAAAGGACTGAGGGGCCACCAAGGACTGTTTTCTGTCCTGCAGCAGGTCAGGGGTGGAGAGAACCCCTGCTCAGAAGCCATACAGGAGAACGACAGAGAAGGTTCTATCCTGGGAGAAAGAAGAGGGGCCAACACGATGAGCTAGATGACTGTGCCTGCCGGGAGACGGAAGGGGGAAGCCCCAGTCTCTCTCTGCACACGTCCCCAAAACTAATCAGCTCTGCCACGAGCCCTCCCTCACACCAAGCCCAGTCTATCTTGTGGGGTCCTGCTCCAAATGAGAACCACCGTGAACAGTCTAGAGCAGTGGGAACTCCAGCTCCTACTGCCGCTCAGGGGGTTCTAGGAGTCAGGGAATTCCCAATCACGGCAACAAGACTAAAGCAAAGAGATGTGCTTTTCCCGCCACATAGAGGTAGAAATACACATCCAGTCTTCCACAGATGAACCATCACATGGTGACTAGATAACATAATTATCATCATACTTATACTTTAAGTATATTAATATAATAAACAGGGTTTTGTACCTGGGAAGTATGCTTAATACATAACAATGGGAAAACATCTGGGGAGTTGAGGAGTGCAAGTTAAATGGTTTCTTTCCAATACAAGACTGCCACCTCCTGGTTAAAGAGGACAGCTGCACCCACGACTGACCATGTACAGCCCTGGAACCGGAGTGGGGAGGTGGCGATGGAGGAAGGCAAGTTTTCTAACACTACCTTTGCAATGACCATGGAACAGTTAAGTTTGCACTACATGAAACAGAGAAACGGTGTGGAACAATAGAAGCGTCAACTCAGGAGTGAGATCTTCATACTGGAGAACTCAATACAGAGACCACTTCATGAATGTTTATGAATCTCATATGGATTCTATATGATTCTCGACATGGGCCCATTTCAAGAGCTGTTCAACACCAAAATTAAACTCTAAAAAAAGCTTAATGCAACTAAGAGAAATGTAGCTAAAAGTACTGAGCGATAAATTTAGCCACATAAAAGTCTGCTTTCTCCTCTAAATATTAATAGCAAGTTAACTTGCGCGCTCAGCTTTGCCAGAGGACTTGCATGCAGTCTAAGGGCGCATCTGGGGCCCACTTTGGCTTGAGTGAGGCTGCGTCTGCACTCTAACAAGACTCCCGGTGACTCACAAGTGCGGACACCTCAGCACTGCTGTGGATCAAGCCGGTCAGGGTTTTTTTTTCCAATTTGTACATAAGACAAGTGATGCTGGCGAAGAGCTAAAAATGCGCTAAGAAACCCAGATGTGAACACAGAGATTTAAAACAAATAAAGAAACACGCAATTTTACCTTTTGTGAATTTCATATAGTGAACACGGTTTTTGGAGACTTTGGACTTCTCCTCAAGACTGAAAGACTTCTTTTCCTTGTTGTCTGGGGAGTCTTTTAAAAGAAAAGGATGAAAAGCATTACATTATATTCTGCATTCCATTCTCAATCCCCTACGGTGACACAGTCTTATAGAAATAAAACCCTTAGGAGCCTTATCATTTATTACTAAACTATAACCAAAGATTAGAAATATTCTTAAACTATGTACTATGGACCAGGCAAGGCTATTCTCCAGAAACTTATAACATCCTGAAGGACGAGAAATGAAAATTTGTGTTCACACAAAACCTCCATGTGAATGTTCATGACAGTCTTATTTGTGACCATAAGATACTGGAAATAAACCAAAATGCCTTCAGTGGGTGAATGGCTAAGCAAATTCTGGTACTCCCTTACATGAGAACATTACTCCATGATAAAGGGGAAGGAGATATTGATACTGTGTGACAAGCTGGATGGACATCACTGGCGGGCATTATGCTTAAGAGAAAAAAGTCATTCTACATACTCCATGATCCACTCAAACATTCTGGAAAGGAAAAACTACAGAGATGGAGAACAGTGAGAGGTTTACAGGGGACAAAGATGAAAGTAGATTTTGGAAGCTGGAGGGTAAGGTGGGTACAGATACAGAAAGGTAGCATGAGGCAGCTCTTTTGTGGTGATAAAACAATTCTGTGTCTTGAATGTAGTGGTAGCTACATGAATCTATACATGTGATAAAGCTGCACTGTAACTACACACACACAATTAAATGAAGGCTAAAAAACCAAAAACTGGTGAAAACTGAATTAGAACTGTGGTCCAGTTAACTGTCAACACCAGAGTCAATTTCCTAGTTTTGATATCATGCTATGGCTCTATTAGATGTCATTGTTGGAGAAACTGGATGAAAGATATTCAGGACCCTTTCTACAACTATTTTTGCAATTTCCTGTAAGCCTAAAATTGTTTCAAAATAAAAAGTTCTTTTAAAAAGTGAGTAAAGGTAAGACAGACCAATGATAATCCAAAAACAGATCAGAGGTGAGATGAGGAGCAGAGCTGGCACTGAGCCACCACCTCACACTGCAGATTCAGCTGGAGGCTCACCTTCTGGGGTAAAAGCAGCAATAAAAACAAGTCACTGAGGAATGAAGTCATGTGGTTATACTCCTTTGATCAAAGAGGAAAATGTGGGGGAGAATGTAGTCCCTCACCCAAAATATCAAAGCAAGTAGATTTGGGGTGATAATCAGTGACAGGATTCTAGCGAGCTGCCTGTATGCCCTCATCTTTATCTATTTGTCAAATTCAAGTAGCAGAAAGAGAACATCATAGGTAGAAAAGAGACTGAATTTTCCTATAGTTATGTCATAAGGAAATACACAAACATGAGATTAGAGAAAGGAGAAAAAAAGAAATTTTCACTTTAATACCGAAGGAAAACAAGCGCATGCTTATTTAACATGATTAAACATGTTAACTAACTGTAATTCTTCCCAGGAAATTACACAGTAAGTCTCCAAACAACATAAAGGTAGATGCTTCAAGTTTTCAGATTAAGCATGACTTCATCACATTAACAGCCTGAAACATTCTCCATGATCACTTCCAAGAACAACTTGCAACTTCTTCCAAAGACATCCTACCTGTAAAATTTCTCCTGCTCTTTTTGCAGGCAAAAAATTTCATATATCACATTACAGTCTCTATTTTGATGTTCCAAACACAAATCACCAAGTAACGTACCAGATTGAAGTACTTTTTACCAATGGAAGGCTTATTAAGTCGGAGGTGCTAGGCTAAGCTTTCTATGCATTCCTGCATTTCATCTCACAACCACCCTGAAAGATAGCTGCTATGACTATTAAACCACCTCACAGGACACCGACGCATGTAGGGTAAAATAAGACCCACTGATGAGGTGGCTGTGAGGGAATGGAAGCCAGGCAGACACGTCTGAGAGTGTACATCCTTAACCTGTGCACTTATCCCCGCAGAGCTGTGCTCACACTTAGGGGAGGTGAGAACCTCCTGGGAGCCTCACCACCTTCCCAGAGCAGACCTGAGCCCTGACACGTCCTAGGGCACCAGTTTCTACCTGCCTGTCCACATGCACGCTTACCTAAAGCTGCTCTGTTCTGTGCAGACACATCACTCTGGTCCTCCTCCCACTTTACACCAGAGGAGCACAGGTCTCCTTGCACCAGGATCAATAAGGAACAAGCTGCATTGCTGGTGTGAGCGAGGGCTCCTTTCATCAAAGCCAGTCCCCTCCCCACCCTATCTATCTCATCAAGAGATGCAGTTCCAGAAAGGTTTGACCATTCTAACAATTGTTTATCAAAACTTGCTTTTCCTGGTTTTGTTAACTGTTGTTCAGTTACCCAGTTGTGTCCGACTCTTTGCGACCCCATGGACTACAACACGCCGGGCCTCTCTCTCCCTTACCATCTCCTGGAGTTTGCCCAAGTTCAAGTTCATTGCATCATTGATGCCGTCCAGCTATCTCATCCTCTGATGCCTTCTTTTCCTTCTTCCCTCAATCTTTCCTAGCATCAGGGTCTTTTCCAATGAGGTGTCTGTTTGCATCAGATGACCAAAATACTAGTTTACTAGTTATAACCTACTCATCAGTAATGACAACTGAATCCCAAGGAAAAATGTTTACACGGAGGCCTTGAGGTTACCAGAAATAGACCAAAAATGTATATGTATTTGTTTTGTAGCAGAGAAACATGACAAGGTGATGAATCTTTTAAATTCAAGCAAAAAATACATTAATACAAAATATCATGGGGTACATGCAATGGAATTATTTCAGAGGAAAAAAACTAGAAAATATAGTATTGCCGAGTGTTAAAGGACTTGCTTTTCTATTTCTAAACAGAAGACCATGGATATCAAACTGCCCTAGTATTAAATACCTACTGAACACATTTGGGACTAATGAAAAGCTCTTATTTTCAAAAGTCGATACTTCCCAAATAGGCCAGATACACATTCTTTGCAACTATTTAAAACTATGATTAAAAACAATATAGACATCAATCTAAAAATGTGAGACAGAGTATCAGTTCAGTTCAGTCACTCAGTTGTGTCTGACTCTTTGCGATCCCATGGACTGCAGCACACCAAGCCTCCCTGTCCATCACCAACTCCCAGAGTTTACTCAAACTCATGTCCATTGAGTCAGTGGTGCCATCCAACCATCTCATCCTCTGTCGTCCCCTTCTCCTCCCGCCTTCAATCTCTCTCAACATCAGGGTCTTTTCAAATGAGTCATCAGGTGGCCAAAGTATTGGAGTTTCAGCTTCAACGTCAGTCCTTCCAATGAACACCCAGGACTGATCTCCTTCAGGATGGACTGGCTGGATCTCCTTGTAGTCCAAGGGACTCTCAAGAGTCTTCTCCAACACCACAGTTCAAAAGCATCAATTCTCGGGTGCTCAGCTTTCTTTATAGTCCAACTCTCACATCCATACATGACTACTGAAAAAACCATAGCCTTGACTAGACAGACCTTTGTTGGCAAAGTAATGTCTCTGCTTTTTAATATGCTGTCTAGGTTGGTCATAACTTCTCTTCCAAGGAGTGTCTTTTACTGTTTTTCAAATTGCCTCAGAGGCTCTGGGAGCAAAAAAACTTGAAGATCCTTGTCCTAAACCACAACTTTGTGGATGACAGGCTATCAGCAACCCACTTTATTTCCAAAAATATTTAAAATCATAAGGAACAAAATATCTGAGAGAAGTAAAAAGCATTTCTTAAAACCATGAGGTAAGTTCACCAAAAAGCCAAGCTGAGTCATACGTTTACTTGAGATAGGATAATTTTTTTTTTTTAATTAGTTGGAGGCTAATTACTTTACAATATTGTATTGGGTTTTGTCATACATTGACATGAATCAGCCATGGAAGGATAATTTTTAAAAATAAAAATTTAAAGACTATAGAGTTTTCTCGTGTCCTACAAGGAAATAAGGGTTATTTCTAAAATTTTTGCAAGATTCTATGAAGAAAATAGTTTGGAATCTGTTTAGTTGACAGGCAAACTGTGTAATTAGGTAAGCAATCTTAAAGAACTAAAAATATTATAGCAGAAAAATAGGTTACTAGGTTATCCTATCAGCTTTAATTCAAGTAATATGACCAAAAATTCATCTGGATGAAGATATTGCATTTACCAAAGATGATTTGGCAGAAAAATGATCTCAGCTCTCCAGGTCCCTGGCCAGGTTTTCCCTTAAAGGAATATTTAAAGGCTTTTCAGTACTGGGACTGGCAGTTAGCAAAGCCTGGTTTGAACTGTACTGGAGACAGAGCTAATAGCACCGTAATTATCAGAGGGAGACAGCGCCCTCTAGTGGCCTTGAGGTGAATCCACGGGTGGACGGAGTTCAGAGTTGGGGCATTGTGCCCAGGGAACATGAGGCGGTATCAGGAGATATTTTTGATTGTCACAACTAGGGAGAGGGTGCAAATGGTATCCAGTGGATAGCAGTCAAGGATGCTGCTAATCGTCCTAAATGCAGAGGACATGCCTCATAGCAGAGAATGATCTGGCCCAAAACATCAGCAGTGCCATGGCTGAGAAAGGCTTTACAGGCTCTTGCAATAATCCACAGGAAATACCAGCTGCTCGGATCACGTTGGTTACAGTGTAGGTGACAAGAGGAAGTCAGGGTCTGAATATATTTTAAAGGCAGAACTGACAACAGCTCTTTGGCTGGAGCAACTAGAAGGATGAAGCTGACATCACCTGAAATGGGGAAGATGGTGGATAAAACAGGTTGTGGGGTATGCAGGTCCAATAGTTTGCAGGGTGGGAGTTGGGGAGGTGCAGAATTGAAGTTTGGACATGCTGAGTTCCGGACGTCGAGGAAACCCTGAGGAGGATGCTGAGCAGGGGGCTCAGGACACAGGGTGATGCAGTAGAGAGAAGTGTGGCAATGGACACCACATCCCCGGGGAGACCAGATGGCATACTAACAGTGCAGACGAAAGATGAAAAAGGGCCAAGGCCTGAACTGCAGGACCCTGGACATTGTAAGGCTGGGATAAGGGAACTGCAGCAGAGAAATGTAAACTAAATAAACTGATCTTGTCATTCTCAAACTTTTAACGGGGAAAAAAAGCCTCTGCTTTCAACTAATGTTAATTCAATGCGAGTACCTGGAAATGTAAACAGACTATTTGTGATAGCTACAATCAATTAATTTTCAGATATGACACTAACAGTAAAAAAAAAAAGTTGCTAAAAATATTTTATATTGAGATTCAGTTCAGTTCAGTCACTCAGTTGCATCTAATGGATAAAAAGCAAAGGTTTCCCCACCTGTTGTTTCCTGCCCATGGCAAGTGTTCAGCTGGGCCAGAAGCTGGTTAAAATCATCTTGATGAGCAATCCAATTGTCCTGAAAAATACCAAAAAATCAATTAGAGGCAAACCTGTTATCTACCTACGCTGAGATAAGATATACATTGCAATCAATGAAATCTGAATTTTTAAATGTCTCACCAAAATATTACTTTATAAATTTGAATGAAGAAATAGTATAAATTTGAACTGTATTTATCTATTTGTTGCTGTGTCTGACTCTTTTGCAACCCCATGGACTGTAGCCCACCAGGCTCCTCTGTCCATGGGATTTCCCAGGCAAGAATACTGGAGTGGGTTGTCATCTCCTTCTCCAGGGGATCTTCTCGACCCAGGGATCAAATCCCAGTCTCCTGTCTTGCAGGCAAATCCTTTTCTACTGAGCCACTGAGCATCTTGGAAACTTAAGCCCTGATTTCAAATGTGGGTAACTTATCAAGTCAACTTATAGTCAAATAAACAGCAGGCAACCTTTGTGCTAAATATTAAAGCAAAACAAAAATTTCTTTTTTCACACTAAGGGAAAATTATGTAGGTTAAAGGGAAAAAGCAGGGATAGATTTGAGGGCTCTGCTTCACTTTTCGGAGCCTGTATGCCAATTCTATTTGCTTACATCCATCCCAATGTGAGAAACCACCACCGGGGAGGGTGGGGGAAGGGCTCCAAGTCCCCCAAGTCAACTAGTGCCCACTGGTAAGGTGCTCAGTTAGTAAGTTCATCATAACACACAGAGTCTCACTTTAAAACAGAATGAGCATCTTCAGAATAATATCAACTCAAGGAGCAGGGTTTCCCTTTAGGCATTTGCCTCATAGGTACTTTTCGAACAATGCTTAAATATGTTATCTTTGAAAATGCTAAAGCCTATTAAATAGGCAATGTTTCTCCTAAAAAATTAAGTATATCTATATATCCACCTCTAAAAAGCTACCTGCAAAAATCAACCTTATGCAAACTCTTTTTAAAAAATTGTCTACAGTGTATTTATTAATTGATGAAAATACAGAAGATATCGCTACACATTCCATCTACTAAGTGTGTGCACTGTGAACCTTCTGAAGTACTGGTCTTAGATTTTGTCAGTTACAGCATTTGTTTCAGTTTTATTGAGATACAACTGGCATAAAACATTGTATTAGTTTTAGGTGTACAACATGATGATTTGACAAATGTATAAACTCTTCCTTTAGTGGTTTAAGCTTTCAGCTGTTAGCCCAAACTATCTTAGCTGCTCCAGTCTACCACTCAGAGCTACTGAACAAAGCAAAGTAATCCAGTTCACCTAAAGTAATTCTCCAGATTTTCTACCAGATTCTGTTGGCTGCAAAAATGTAAGAACAAAGCTTTCAGTTTAGATGCTTTCTAAAGTGAGCAACAATACTGAAAATGAAAGGCAGGGCAAGCCATGAACTTTTAATTACAGGGTCATATTTTCGAAGTGTTGGTGTTTACTAGGAAATGTGAATTATCTCAACTGCTATACACCAACAGTCAGAAACACACAATGGACAAGAAAAGAACGGTACTCTTGCAGTATTTCCAAAACAAAATGCCACCAATTTTAGCAATATAAGCTAATAGTCCAACAGAGGTCAAGATGAAAATTCCTCTCTGTCCTAAAGTGCAAAAAAAACCCCACCAGTTTTTGCAAAGTTCAGCAATAAGGCTATTTGGAATCTTTTATGCATAAGCAATAAGGCAAAATGATTGCATGTTACATGATGCACAGCAGCTTAGTCACTGGCTTGTTATCCAAAACATGGACTGCAGACTCTTGAATAGCTTAAAACTGATCAATCAATTTGATTGGATTAATTTTCTTTTACACTGACAAAAATAACAACAATGCAAGGAAACCCCCCAGCAGACACGCTGTTGCTCACTTCGTTATTGATAGTAGCTCCTAGTCCCAGGTGGTTATTTTTGACTTGAACTTTAATATGATCAGTGGCTCCTTGCTCCTGAGCCCCTAAACCCTGTGGAGATTAAACATAAAGAGAGTTAGCATTTTCATCAGGTAGAAAAGAAATTACCTCTCTCTTCCTTCATTAACTGATTCATCACTCACATTAGGAGGCTCCATCCTTGTCCTCAAAGAGGATAGTCTAGTGGATTCTTTCAAGACATGTCTGTAACACCAAGGATGCGCTTACAGTGCCATGCTGTGCTAAGTCGCTTCAGCCATGTCCGACTCTTTGAGAACCTGTGGATTGTAGCCCACCAGGCTCCTCTGTCCATGGGATTCTCCAGGCAAGAATACTGGAGAGGGTTGCCAGGACCTCCTCCAGGGGATCTTTCAACCCAGATATCAGATCTGTGTCTCATGTCACTGCCCTTGGCAGGCGAGTTCTTGACCACTAGCACCACCTGGGAAGCCCTGCACTTAGAGTAATGAATGCCAATTCTTCAACCTGAGGCTCGCTTTAAAGACCATGAAAATACTAAAGAGAACGTGCCTTTTCCTGATGCGCAAAAGCAGAATGCTACTACCAAACTAACAGAAGCCCATCAGAGGCATTACAAGCCTGTGGCACTTTCCATTAAATAATTCTACAAAACAACCCTGAGGAAGGGGATCCCAAGTCCCCTGCATCATTAACACTCATTTGTAAGGTGTCCCTGAGCACCTGGTGTACTAAGTCACCCAAGGTGGCTCTAGTAGAGTGGATGGAGAAAAAAAATAAGAGATAAAAAGGGACTAGATCTCAAGGACCTTGGACATTATGGGAAGAATTTGGATTTTGTTATTTTTTTGGTTTTTTTGGCCATGCCCCCTGGCTTGCAGGATCTTAGTTCCCCAGACGGCGATTGAACCCGTGCCCTTGACAGTGAAAGTGCGGAGTCCTAATCAAGGACTTCCATGCAATTTCCAGATTTTATTTCTTTAAAACAATGGGAAACCACTGAACTTTTAAGCAAAGGAATGACATGATCTAATTTCTATACTTTAAAAGCTCACAACGGCTGCTGTAAGGCAAATGCCCAGAGAAGGAAAAGAAGGGAGGCAGGGAAGCAGCTGAGAGGCTGCTGTGTTGATGGGACAGGCGGTGGTGGCGGCTGGTCCAGGACAGGCCCGCGCAGAGAGGAGTCATGACTGGGGGCGCAGGAGGTGAGTGAGGGGTGGGACCAGCACCACCTCCAGGCTTCCGGCTTACGTAAAGAAACCCTTGACAGGGTATGTTTGCAAAAACGAGGGAAACTTGAGAAGAAAAAGATTTGGGAGGGATCAAAAAGTTTTATAATAAAAATAATCAACTTAAGATGCTAACTCAAGTGAAAATGCCAAGCAGGCTGATGAATTTATAACCTTGGAGCTCAAAGGACAGGCTTGAATCTGGACTAGATAGAAAAGTGACAACTCTCAGAATTTAGATAATTCAAAGCATGGCATGGAATGAATGAGCTCACCCAAGCAGAGGACAGGAAAGGGCCTGGGGCTGAACCCCAAGGAATTCCAAAGCTCAAGAGCCTAGAGGAGGAAGAGCCAGCAACACATTTTGGGGTGGTTAGTAAAGCAGAGGGGAAAACCAGGATAGAGGGCAGTATTGTGGAAGCCAAGACAGAGGTACTTCAAGCAGGGGTAATTGATGACATCCAAAGCTGCTAAGGGATGAAGTGATGTGAGAACCAAAAAAGGATCCATTGGGTTTGGAAACAAGATCTTTGAAGACCATGGCAAGAACCGTTTAAGTATAGAGACGTCAGCAGAAGCCCTAATTGAGTAAGGAATAAATGAAATGTGAGGAAAAGGAGAAAATGTGTAGTCCAGTTATAAGGGTGAATAAAGCTTTACTCTAAGCAACGTAAAACTCTGATGGTTAAGTGTGATTCCAAATGCAACCAACTAAAAGGCACCATCTACGAATATCAGAGCAGGTTAAATAATTAACAAAGACAGCTGGCACGTATGTTCAATTCTAATTTTACTATCACAATGTCTTTAAAACTTAGTTATTTTTCTAAAATCACTTATTGATCCAAATAAATTCTCCCAGTCTAAGAAAGATACAATCTCCTGATCTATAATCTCTCTGCCTGGCTCCAATTCCTGTGCTCTTCTTCAAGGTACCTTGCCTTTAGACCACCCCATCTTCTCCAGCATCCTCTGGCCAAACTTGGAGTCATTGTTACTCCACGCAGTGTTTCTTGGGTCCACAGCCCACTTCTGCTTCCGCCGACCTGCCAATGACAAAGTATCGCATCAGCAGCTTGTCTTTCAAGCCTGAAAATACCTCACAAACACACACACACCTATGGCACACACACGACACTTCTATAAATGCAACATACACTGTTTTATTAGATACAGATATCAGATGCGGCATCCACTGGGACATAGTATCAGCTTGGATCATTCATCCTGGTTTCCCCAAAAACTCTATAATCTAAACATGCAAACTGATCTTGTAAAAGTGAAATAAAAATGCTTCCTCCAAATGTGACAAATTGAAATACCTGATGTACCATCAGTCGGGCCTTCCATTCAGCGATTGGCAGCAACGTAAGGCCCCTGTGACACCAAGGTCGCCATCACCCGTCATTACACACACATGGTAAGTGCCAAATGCATCCATATGCTCTCAGTTTCCACAGTAACCCAATGAGGGGAAACAGTCTGATCTCTTCTTTTCAGATGAGAAAATCTGAGGCCTTCAGGAGGCATATGCCTAATACCCCCAAGCAAAGACCACAGTCTTTATACAAACCAAGGGCCTACCAACCCCAAAGCTTACATTCTTAATCCATAGCACACAGCTGTCATGAACTTGGGGAGAATCAACCTCCACGCAACCTACAGATACTAATCTCACTGAAACACCCTATAGCCATATATGACCCCTTCTCTGAACTCACACGATAAATTACCGGTTTCTTTTCTTTGGCATTTAACATTCCTCTGTATTATGGTTGTTTACATCCACCTCTTACGTTTGCTATTCCGCCATAAGCTCTTTAAGGCTCACATCTATGTTCTTATTCTTTCTTATGCTTCATTGCATTTGCCCATAGCAGGCATTCAGGAAAAACATGATTGAATATATGAATGACTGAGAAACAAAAAAAAGGAGGGAAGGAAGAAGAAGAAAGGCGAAAAGAAAAGGGGAAAGGGAAAAAAGGAAGATAATTGAATTGAGGAAACTGCTCTGAGTCCTTACAAGTTGTTTTTGTTTTTTAATGTATATAACTAACTGACCCTGATGCTGGGAAAGATTGAGGGCAGGAGGAGAAGGGGATGACAGAGGATGAGATGGTTGGATGGCATCACCAACTCGATGGGCATGGGTTTGGGTGGACTCCGGGAGTTGGTGATGGACAGGGAGGCCTGGCGTGCTGTGATTCATGGGGTCACAAAGAGTCGGACACGACTGAACTGAACTGAACTAACTAACCGTTAGAAACTCAAACTTACCGCTACACTTTTAAGGAAAGTTACAGCAGAGAAAAAGGACTCCAGAAGTTTATTAAACAAGCATATGAAACCCAAAGTAAATGGTGGCTAAGTGGGAAATCTGAAGGTCAAATGCCAACATCATTTATCTGTTGCACCAATGGAAGCAGACTACCAACAGCGGCTCATGCGTCAGCAGTGTCCTAACTGATTTACCGCATGTAAAACCAATAAAGAGATTTTTAACTATCCACACTGTAGCAATAGGTAAACCTTTACAGGCATGCAGGCAGAAAAAGACTAATGAAAAAGGAAAATGTGCTAGGCTTAGATTTATCGTGTTTCGCAGGGAAAGGTGCTACTAAGGTGACTAAGTTACCACTTACTTATCTTAGTAAACACACAGCCTCACGTTGCCTCTGCTAACGAACAGCTTAAGCGATGAGCCTGGCTAACTAGGGCTCTCTCTGCAAGGCTGCTTCCGGGTGCATGTTGGAGCCATGTCTCCAAACTAGCGTCGGCCAGGGGTCTCTGACTGGGGCTTGTATGAAAGAGACATTTTTGAGAATGAGTGTGCCCACTCTCTGCAATAAAGATGGCATACAGTTTATGTCACAAACGCACATACTATAATGCTGGCACAAGAGATTAGAGAGTCAGCCGAGGTCAGCTTTTCTTCCCCAGGGAAATGGCAGGTATCTTCAACCAACAGAGTGCACACATATGTGCTCAGTCGTGTCTGACTCTTTGCGACCCCATGCACTGTAGCCCGCCCGGCTCCTCTGTCCAGTGGATTTTCCAGGCAAGGATACTGGGGTAGGATGCCATTTCCCTCTCCAGGCGATCTTCCCAACCCAAGGATCAAACCTGCATCTCTTGGGTCTCCTGCACTGCAAGCAGATTCTTTACCAGTGTACCACTTGGGAAGCAACGCAGCAGGGCAGTGTTTCCCAAGTAAGGATGTTAAATGCAGGGGAGGACTCAGGATAGAGTGTCCTGAATCTGCAGAATCACTCTTTGGGATGAAGGGGGTAACCATCCTCTAGCAGGGACTCCTCCTATATGGAGATCTAGCCAGATACTTTCAGGGTAACCCTCACAAACAACCCTGCACACAAGAGGTGCCAGGTCCAATCACTCCACGCCCAGGACCACAAAGTTTATGCCAGGATTCAGCTTACTCTGGGAAGTGTTTTGAGTGCCAAGAGCCAGGGGCAAAAGTTTTCTCTTTTTTTTTTTGCCCAAAGACACTTTCAGATATTCAAGACCTCAAAAAATATATCCTCCACCCATGTATTCTTATTAAAACATTTTTTGAGACATAGATTAAGGCATAGATTAATTTTGAAATAGAGTCAAGATTAAGGAAACAGCAGCATAAAATTGTAATGCAATGACCACTAAAATCCATTAATGATAGCACTGTCATTTGATTAGAAAATGTAATAATTGCAAGTGTCAAACACTGGTCCTAATAAAATGTGGGTCTAAGACTCCAAATTAAATAAGGATTGAGAAGTGAGAGTGATAAATGAAATTTTTCTCTTATGTTTCAGTAGGCTAGATTTCTTACCTTAAATAGGGGAAGTCAATAAAATATATTTGACAATTAGAGAAACGCAGGATAAAGGATGTTTTTGAGAAACATAAAGAAAAGTACTACATTTTTAAAACAGTATAGATGCCTGTGAAGATAAAAGAACACAATCTAGTCCATATGGCAAGGGAAAACAAAGGAAACAGTGTACTTACTGTAGTGAAAATAGTAACTGAAGGTTAATCAGCGGGAAAAAGTAGCTTACAAAACTGTATCTACAGAATTATTACAATTTTACAAACTATCAGAGAAAATAACTGCTGGGTAGTGAAATGACAGGCTGGGATTTCTCTAAGCTTCTGTTTTCTCACTTCTAAAATAAGAACACCAGTCCTAAGTGTCTAATATCAGGGGATGCCACTAATTTAGTAAATCATATTACAAGGCAACACAGAATATTGGGCTGACCAAAGTATAGGGTATGGAAAAAACTTGAGTGAACTTTCTGGCCAACCCAATGTTATCTATTATTATGCCAAAGATTTGAAAATCTGGAGACATAGGGATGGGGGGAGAACTGAAAATACTCTCTTGAAATCCTGCAGTCTGAATTACTGATGTCCAGAGAAGGCATCGCACATCCGTGTTTTGAACTGTTTTCACATTCACCATCTCATTGACTTTTTTAAGACAACCTAGTGATGACCATAATCAAAGATGTTTTTAATAGCCCCAGAGAAACGGATCATGGAAAGAGACATAAATGAATAGCAGAACTAGGGCTTATGTTTCCAGGTACATGCCGAACCAAGTGTACATCAGAGAATATTAAAACCAGGAGAGATTTAGCCACGCTGGTTAGCCCACAGGGTCACACTAACACATACATACTCCGATCTGGAAGTTCTTATTTAAAAACCAATAGTAGTCTGCTGACCCTAGTGACAAGAACGTAAAGAAACAGCGACAACTAGATCAATTTTGTCACTTTCTACCTCAACGACTTGGGGTGAATTATTTCCTCTGAATCTCAACTTCTGTCCCTGTAAAACTTGCATGGTGTCTTACCCACTTAGTTTTGTGCTCCCATTCCTCCACCTCTTTAGATGAGAGGATGCCGACAGCATTTATTTCATGGAGTCCCTGTGTAGCTGCTGTTGGTCTGTTAAATAAGCTGGTTTTGGTCCTTGTTCACCAAACACTTTCAAAGTGACCGGCCGGCTTTTCAGGACCAAAGCACGACTGCCCTCTGGTGGCCGGTAGGCTTAACTACAGGTGCCATTCAAAAGTTAAAAGCCGCGCCAAAGGAAGGAAATTGACGAACTTCACAAAATAATAGTGAATGTCAAAGACAAACATGCACCGCGGGCGTTGCGGCCAACACGCCTCTCAAAGAAGACTGTTACTAATTCCAACTACCAAAGTCACACCCACCGCGATTTTATTTAGAATCACTCATTAGCCCCTTAAAAACTCTAACTTCCAGTGTCTACTGCTTCTAAGCTCTTGGCTTTTCTTTTTCTTGAGTCAATACATCTTCAAGGACGGGCTTTCACTGCTGGCCCAACAACTTCTTTTTAACCAAAGGACGCTGAGGCCTGGGGAAGTAAGAGGTCAGGTTCCCAAAACCAGAGTCCTGATCCCCCACTGGAACCCACCACCCACGTGTCCACGTTTGAGAGCGAGGACAAGAGTTCCAAGTGGACACTCGGTCTCATCAGCAGGCCTGCAGCTAACTTTCGAGGAAGGCTGAGCGGGGAAATCTCCGCGGCAGCCAGGGAGAGCCGAAACGGGCTTCCAGGACACCCGCCCCCGGCAACCTCCGGCCCACTGCGCGCCGGGGACCCGCGCCGTCTGTGGCCACCGTGTCACCCAGAACCTTCACCCTCGGGCCCGGTCGAGCCTCCGCGCCCAACACTCACGCTCAGCCAGCATCGACATGTCGCCGAGCCTGTGACGCTGCGGATCTCGGGACCTGAACGACCGCAATTGCCGCAGGGCCGACCCGAGGGGAAGCTGAAACTACCGGACTCTCACACCGGGGAAACGGCAGCGGCGGGGGCGGGGGGCGCGCTCTGATGACGTCGGCGAGACGCGACTCGCTCCTGAACCGCGCGGCGGCGAGTGGGCGGGGTGCGGGCCGCGTAGCACTCTGCCTTTGGGAGGATACCTGGTAGATTAAGTGGTTTCTCAGGCTTGTTCCAACTTCAGCGTTCCGCGTGTCCGTGAAATATCTGTGAGGAACATCCACTAAAAAGAACCGTTACTAAGTTTGGGTGTTTTGTTCTGTTTTTTTATATTACAGAATCTTGATATTTTTAAATTGTCAGCTGGAAGTTCTGGTGGTTCAGACGGTAAAGAAAATGCCCGCAAGGCAGAAGACCCGACTAAAATCCCTCGGTGGGGAAGATCCTCTGGAGAAGGGAATGGCTACCCACTCCAGTATTCTTGCTGGAAAATTCCATGAACAGAGGTGGGCTATAGTCAGGGCATGGAGTCGCGAAGAGTTGGACTCGACTGAGCGACTAACACTTTTAACTATTTTTTAATAGATACTGCACTTTTAAAAAGAAGGTGACAGTGTGAGACATTCCATCCTGTTCTTTAGTCTCATGGCAGACCAGCATAGAGCAGGGCTGCCCAAACTTTAAAGTGCGAGTAAATCACCTGGGAATCTTGTTGAAATGCAGTTTCTGGCTCAGCAGGTCTGGAATGGGGCCAGAGATTCTGTATTTCTAACGAGCTTCTGAGGATGTGGCTGATGATGGCCTTACTTTGTATAGCAGGCCATCGAACAACCAAAGGCAGGAAGGAACTCAGGGTTAAGATATACTCTTTTCTTTTTTCCTATTCAAGAAAAATACTTTATGAAGAACACTTTAGATGATGGTGATAAACAATTTCAAAACACTTCAAAGAACTGAACCCAGATGATTTAGGTAAGTCATCTGTGCTATTCCCCTACCTTCAGGCAAGTAAAGACCAGTATCAGGGACTGAAGGTCACAACTTCTTTTCTACACCTCTGGTAAGTCTCATATCCACCCTTGCTCGCCCCCACCCCACCGCCCCACCCCATTACACACTTACAGTTGTAAAAACTAGCTACACATTTCTGTACAATCACAAAAAAGGGTTCTTATGTGTTGCGTTACATCTTTATTTTCTATTCCAGATATATCACTAACATTGTATCTATAAAGGAAATAAAGCTGAATCTTGCCAGTTTAATTTAGCTCATTTTAAGCAGCACTAGAGGGATACAGTGCAGGGCTGGGGAATGGGGAGCAGTCAGAGAACAGTGACAAAGCCTAAATTCTGCTACCAGCTTGGGGTGAGCCCTTGTGCGAGTCATTTCACCTCTTTTGGTATCTCCTTCCATTCTATGAAAAAGGATGATCTCTGGGATCATTTCCAATATCTGAAAGATTTTCAGAGAATTACTTTAATCAGATCTAGTTGCTGTTACCCAAAGAATGAAAGGCTCATTGCTCCTGGAGGATTTCTGCTGCATTCCTGGCCATGTCTTCCTCAGTCCCCACGAGGAACACAGGTTGAGAAGCGTCTACCCACCCTGAGATCTAATACACTGGAAATGGTTGCTTGATGCCTTGCTGAGATTTATTTACCTATTGTGGGAGATGGGGAGTGTCCAGTTTTGCCGGGTTCTTCCCCCTTCAATCTGCTTTAAATTCCATCCCATTTCAGTTGCTTATACTGCCCCTGAGTAGGAGAATGTGTCAGTCATACTGGGTTTTTTTTTTTTTTTAAGATTTTGTTTTTTTAATGTGGACCATTTTTAAAGTCAGCCATTAAAAAGAATTCATTTGAATCAGTTCTAATGAGATGGATGAAACTGGAGCCCATTATACAGAGTGAAGTAAGCCAGAAAGATAAAGACCATTACAGTATACTAACACATATATATGGAATTTAGAAAGATGGTAACGATAACCCTATGTGCAAAACAGAAAAAGAGACTCCTATGTATAGAACAGACTTGTGGACTCTGGGAGAAGGCGAGGGTGGGATGTTTCAAGAGAACAGCATTGAAACACGTATATTATCTAGGGTGAAACAGTTCACCAGCCCAGGTTGGGTGCATGAGACAAGTGCTCGTGCCTGGTGCACTGGGAAGACCCAGAGGGATTGGGTGGAGAGGGAGGTGGGAGGGGGGACCGGGATGGGGAATACATGTAAAAAAAAAAAAAAAAGAAAAAAAGATACACTATGGTTGTGATTAAAAAAATAAATAAATAAATAAATGAAAAAAAAAAATAAAATGCACAGCTAGGCATTATTAGGGAAATCCCTATGGGCAAGTATAAAAAGGAGGAAACCAGACCAGTAAGCAAGTGCTGAAGCCACATCTGAACTGGGAACATTTTCCAAAACTGGAACCCAACAATGGGAGGCTTAATAGTTGCAGGGGCTGGAACTGAGACACCTGCAGTGAGCTTGGATTCTCAAATGTCTACACTTCTAGATAAAAGGGGAAACTAGAAAAAAATCCATTAAAGAAAAGGGAGATGAAAAAAAAAAAAAAGTCTTTGGTGAATTTGTTACAGTATTGCTCCTTTTTTTTTAACCGTTTAGTTTTGTTTTGCTTTTTGACCTGGAGGCATGTGGGATCTCAGCTCCCCAACCACAGATCCAGCCTGCCCCGCTGTGTTGGAAGGGGAAGTTCTCACCACTGGATGCCAGGGAAGTCCCTGATAGTGTTTTATTTCAAGTTGACAAGCACAGTAAATACCAACTCACGGCCCTCACGTTCCAGGCCACCTAGTAGTTTATCTTGTCCTCTCTTGAAGTCTTTATCTGTTGTGGAAGCTCAAATAGGAAGGCCAGCCCTAGCCAACTGCTGTGGGCAGAGTACCCTCTTTCTTGATCCCAGTCTAGAAATGACTTCCAGCTCCCCAGCAGCAGTTCTGGCCGGCCATCCCTCTTCTGTTGATCCTGCCTATCAAAATGTTGTGACTTCAAGCTTTAGCCTCCACAAAATCTGTGAATCTCAACAATGGAAAATTGTGTCCAGAGGTCAAATCTGATTTTTTTTTACTGCCTTATGATCATTTTCTTTACTGTCTTAGGCGAGCCTTCTCTGGCCTTTGAGCAAAGTGATAACACTTTAGTTTCTCTATCTTGAGATAGTTTTAGGACTATAGGTGGTGGGGAGGAAAGGTGTAGGAGTGGGGTCAGGGAGATGCCTGCAAAGGGAACCAAGAGACATGGAGTGGGAGTTGGATGATGAAGGAGGAAGGGCTGACTTGGTTACCAAGGGCTGACATAGTCTGGAGGCCAGGCTAGTCCACTGGGGCCAGAGCTGAAATAGCTCAGGTCACTTGTAGAATGTTGTGAGGAGTCCAGAGTGTGGGAGCCTGGCGGTTTGCAAAGGTATTCATTGCCCTTTCACTCTTACCTGGTATTTAGAAAGGGCATTTGGAAAGCTCCGGCAGTGAAGGGAGTGGGACTGGTGCAGTGGCAGGCACAGAAGGACCCCATGGAGAGTCACTTTCTAGGGCTAAACCTAGCAGAGCCTGAAGTTGTTTTATTTATTTTTTCCAAACTTATTTTTAATTGAAAGAGAATTGCCTCAGAATATTGTGTTGGCCTCTGCCATACATCACTGTGAGTCGGCCGTAGGTATACGTGTGCCCCCTCCCTCTTGAACCTGCCATCCCTCCCCACTCCCCTGGGTTGTTACAGAGCCCTGGTTTGCATTCCCTGAGTCAAAAGGCAGGTTCCCATTGGCTGTCTATTTTACACATGGTAGGTAGTGTATATGCTTCCATGTTACTCTCTCCATTCATCCCATTCATTTGTGTGTGTGTTTTTAATCTTTTTTGGAAATCATAATTGGACCACAAACAATTAACAGCAAATCTGGTAAACCTCCCTCCCAAGGAGAAGAAGTAGGTGGAAAAACAAAACAAAACCAATTCTAGGAGTCTAGGCTCTAGGCTGAGCTGATTTTCTGGAGGCGTATCAATGTTTTCTTGCAGTCATCTGACATCATTTTATGATTCTAGGCTCTTGATTCAAGGTCTATAAAGGAATCAGCTGCTCCCAGAAAACAAACAGCAAATGAAAAATTTTCCAAGTGTTTTCTGTGTTCATGTTAATGTGATATTTCCAGAAACAGGGCCAGACACAGCAGAGTTTCCATCTTCCTGGTACAGCTTCTAAAATTCCTCCCCAGATGCCTAAGGCACTTCCTCTTCAGCAGATAGATGAGGAGAGCTTGCATAACAAGATGAGAGTACTATCCAAATAAAGTTGGGGTGGAGGGGTCAGTGTACGCTTGAAAATTCTTGACTATTCCTTTGTGTTCTATCATAATCTGTGCGTGGATTGGAAAAGAATTTCCAGATATGAGGCAAAATGAGAGGAGAATAAAGTTTATTAGAGTGGGAGACACTGTTAGAACAGTGAGCTGGCTCAAGGGAGAGCTGACCCCTTTCGCGGGCTGGTAGCCAATTTTTATGACCTCAAGACAGAGAAGATTCCTATGGAAAGGTAGCATTAGGTGATTGGTTAGGATGTTATATGGTGGGTATTTTATCTAATATGAGGTCAGGAAACTGGTCGATTTAGACCCAGAGACTCATGGCAACGGTCATGAAGTTGTTCAGTCGCTAAGTTGTGTCTGATTCTTGAGACACCATGGACTGCTGTACGCCACGCTTCCCTGTCCTCTTGGGAGTTTGCTCAGACTCCTGTCCATTGGTTGGTGATGCCATCCAACCATCTCGTCCTCTGTTACTGTGGGACTTGGTTAATTCTGGAGATTTTCATCCTGTGACCTTGGCATAGGGCTGCTCAGTACCTTAGCTGATACACCTCATTTCCACATTCTTCTGGAGTTGCCTTCAGAATGAGGCATTGCCTTTATTTGACTTTGTCTTAAGTATGTCTTTTTATTCTGATACTTTAACATCTGGG